AGTCGCTCGGCAGGCTCCGCAATCACATCAAGCCGCGAAGCGAGCGCAAAAAATGACAGCTGTCCTTGTGCCGAACAACCTCATTGAAATCCGCAGCGCCCTGAAGCGCGCCAAGCTCGCGCGGCTGGAACAGCGAGCACGCATGCCGCAACTTGCTCAGCGACGTGATGACAGCCAGCAGAGTCTCGAACCTCTACATGGCGATCGTCTAACGCCTCCATGGATGCCGTCAAACACCCAGCCACAAGGTGATGCCAATCAAGAACAGCAACGCAGAACTCCAGCTGCCGACTGAGAAACGCGAGCCTGGGAGAAATGCGAAGACCGAATTTGGCAGCAAAAATGGTCCAGCAGTTCCCGATGTCTGCGACGACGCGATCAGTCCCCACGTCGGTCGCGATTGACCTGCAATATTCGAAGGATTATTCGAGGGTGGCCATGCGAAGGGCTCAAAGCAACCAGAACTGCCACAACAATGTCATTGTCTTGTCCATGCCCATCTGGTACCCGTGGCCCATGCATGTGCCTGGCACCAAGTGTTCCATTACTGAAGCACCAAGAACGACTACGTCGCGCAAGGTCCCCGTAATCTCTTCGCCAGAATTCGGACCCGAAATCAATGTGCAAATGGATTGTCCGACGCCCAGTCTCAGGCCGAGACCACGGCCCATTGCGGAGCATTCGCCTTTCATTGTCCACCACCATCAGATCGAGCCTCGGGCGAGAAGCATACAGCGTTGTTTTGCTGGCGTACGCGAAGCCACCGAACATGGACTCGTCGAGCTTTGGCCAGTGAGCTTTCAACGTGGCTGCACTCTGTGTTTCTAAGTCTTTGGGCTTTCTCAAAAAAAAAAAAACCTAGTTCGAATGAATCGCAAGGTGCGCAAGGCCGACTTCGTAGTGTGACGATCCCCGCCGCGGAACTCAGACACGTCCAACCGTTCATCTTCATCGACGTCGGACTCGGAACATTGTGAATCGCAGTCCTGCAGGTTCCGCCGGTAAGCTGCCATTCCTTCTCTTCTTGGCCCGGAAGTGATTGGAACGCTTTCCTATTGCGCCCCCCAAATAGGTAAGTAGCAGCACGCATATAGAAAACCTGCGGCGACACAGCGGCACACCGATGACACCAGAACGTCTGACACGGGCAACGCGTGCTTTTGCAAAACATCGAAGCAACGGGCCTTGTCCAACAATTGCGTGCACGCGTGCAAGATTAATCCGTCCTGCTGGTCGGGGCACCAATTGCGGGCGCGTGCACGGCAGACCAGTGATGTATGCGGCGTCCCGCATCTGATCGGAGGATGGCTTGTATAGAATTCATGTGTGTCCCAAGACCTAGGAACCTCCAGTTTGAGACACCAATGCCCAACACATACTATATGAGAGGAGGGACCTGCGTGGTCGATCAAATCTGTCTTTGTCCGAAGGCTCTGGTCTGGTCTGGAGCTACCACCGCAAATAGCAAATACGAAACGTGTGCCGTGCTGTTGAATGTCGCGTTGCCTACGGACGCGTTTCTGAAGCCCGGCCCGAGAATCTCAAGCGAGGAACTCCGATGCGGATGTAAAATGTCGGAATCCGAACTCATGTGGCCAAAACGGCGATGTGCGCGTGGAAATGCGACAACCAAAAAGCCAATTCGAAGACCTGGCAGCAGTATGTACAAAAGCAGACAACGTGCGCATTCTCGATGCTGTGCTATGCTATGCTCTGATGGAGTGATATGACGTGGTATGATGTACTATACTATGTTACGCTTCAGTACAACAGTGTCCCATACTCTCTGTTATGGCGATGGTGTGACATATGATAGCATGGCCCAACGTACTGCAAGCACTAAGGTTCCATAGCAACGCCCATGCTATTGTGCGAAATGTTGGCCCATGTCACGTACGATCTGACATTGAAAATGCTACGCCTGTGTGCTGAGCCCTATGCTGCTCCGCTGTCATTCTTAATGTATGATGTTGTGTTGCTGTGCTGCGCTGGCAGGAACAGGAAGGAGGGCTGGAGAAACGAGGACGTAAAGACAAAAGGAAGAAGGAGAGGAGGGAGGGAAAAAACAGACAGAGGGGGGGGCGGTCTCTCTCCCGAACCTCCCGAGGGGGGGGCGACATCTCCTATCCCGGACGTGCAGACGTAACAGCGGTACGTTGGGAAACCTTACGTGGTGAAACTTTAGTCATACACGACAGCAATCTGAATAGTTCCCCGCCGGATGTTACGGATTTCCAGACATTGGTTTGTCGAGCCTTTGAATAATATTGAAAGTATGCGGTTTGCTAGTTGTCATAGCTGGTTAGAGAACCATCAAAATTCGCACTGTGCTTACATACGAGAGAGCGCGTTTCACGGGCGCTTGCCTGGGGAACACTCGGCGGCGCGTTTCGAACCGCGGGGCGTCCCCCCCCTCCCCAACGCTCGGCGCCGTCGATCAGACCCAGGGGGACTCCCCTCACCCCTAACCCCCCCCCCTCCCGACCCCCCCCCACCTCCCCCTGGGGGGGGGTCCAAACCCTCCCCCCTCCCTCGACGCCAGCGCCGGCGCTGGCGGCCGCCAGCAGCGCCGACGGCGGGGACGCGGACGCAGCGACGATGACCAGAGGCAGCCCAAGGGGGTGAGGGGAGGGGGGTTCCAAACCCACCCACCCCGCGCAGGCGCCGACGTCGGCACTCGGGGCGGCCAGCAGCGCCGACGGCGGGGACGCAGCGACAATTACCACCACTACCACCACCACCACCACTTCCAGTGCCACCACCACCTCAACCCACCACCACCACCAACAACCCGCCACACAACCACCACCACCACCACAGCCACCACCACCACCACAACCACCACGACCACCACAACCACCACCACCACCACAGAAACCCACCACCACTACCACCACCACAATCTACCACACCACCACCACAGCCGACACAACCACCACCACTACCAGCAGCACAACCCACCACCACCACCAGCACAAAGCACCACACCACCACCACCACCACCACCGCTACCACCACCACCACCACCAGCACCACTTCCACAAACCACCGCCACCGCCCGCCGCCGCAGGCGCCGGCGCTGGCCCAGGAAAGGAAGTCGTCGTCTCCGCCGCCGCCGCCAGCCGCCGCCGACGCAGGCGCCAGCCCGAGGAGAGGGAGAGAGGAAAAGTAGGGGAGGAGGGGAGGGGAGGGGAGGGGGGGGGGAGGGGGTTCGACCCCCCCCCCGTCACAGGAGGGGGGGGGGAGGGGGGTTCGAACCCCCCCTCCATCCAGGGGGGTGGGGGGGGTCCGGTTCCACCCCCCCCCATCCAAGCGACCACAGAACGCGTTCTCTCTTACATATATGTTGTTTGCTTTCAATTGAAACCTGCAACCATAAGAAAACGCCTTCTGAGTGATGGCCCGCAGTATTTTCAAGTGTTCCAAACATTGGATCATCACGTCTTTGGGCAATCATGCACATACAAGGCTCGTTAGCTATCATGACTAGTCATCGAAGAAAATTGGGTGTTCTCACTGCAGGCCATCATTGTCTGCCTCTTGTTTCAGGATGCTGGTAGTATATGGCAGAATCTGAAATTCTGTCGCGTAGTACGATAAGTGTTCCAGACAATGAATAATCAGCTACTTGAGTAGCCATGTAAACACACGGTTCCGTAATTACCACGGTTGCAGAATAATACAATTAGTTCGCATCGTAAGTCATGATGGTTTCAGTTCGCCCTTTTCTTCGGAAACTGTGGCAACACAGAGTAATGCATGGCTGATGCTGCTTATTCTGAAGTTTTCCCGGACATTGAACGATCGAGCTCCTGCGTAGTCATGCAAGTATGGAGCTACCTCAGTAGTTACCACTGCATGCAACCATGTGTTGAATCGTTATTCACAAAATATTGAACACTAAGCAGCATTAGCCTGATGCATGCTCCGTCGTCTTTTAGATTATCTCAAACATTGAACGATTTTGTGTATGCGCATGATAACACAAACACTAGGTTTGGCAACTACCATGGTCATTAGTATGATCGGTAAGTGCTTGTAACGCTGGAAGAAATTATGGCGTGGTTCAACTCCCCAGCATGATTTGCTGTTGGGTCATCGTTTTGAAGGGACAGCGCCCCGCGGTTCTCTTCCCCCTGTTCCTCCTCCTTCTTATCCTCCTCCTCCTCCTCCCCCCTCTTCCTCCTCCCATCCATGCCCCTGCCCTCCGCATGTCAACCATCTCAGCGCGCCCTGTACAGCGCTTCGTCGCCCCGAAGGGAGCTCCACCAAAGGCCCCAATGGCTGTGACCAAGTGAGTCCCGCTCCACCCAGTACGGCGCTCCGTGGCCCAATAGAGAGCTCCACCGAAGGCCCCAGTGGATGTGACCACATGCGCCCCGCGCCACCCATTACGGCGCTTCGTTACTCCGTAGGGACCTCAACCGAAGGCCCCAACAGATGTGACCACATGCGCCCCGCTCCACCCAATGCGGAGTTCCGTGGCCACATAGGGCTCCACCGAAGGCCCAAGTGGTTGTGACCACATGCGTCCCGCGCCACCCAGTGTGGAGATTCGTGAACCCTTAGGGAGCTCCACCGAAAGCCCCAGTGGCTGTGACCACATGGACCACGCTCATACAGCGCTTCGTGGCCAAAGGGAGCTCCACCGAAGGCCCCAGCGGCTGTGACCACATGCGTCCTGCGCCACCCAGTACGGTGCTTCGTGACACCATAGGGAGCTCCACCACCGAAGACCCCAGTGGCTGTGACCACATGCGTCCCGCACCACCCAGTACAGCGCTTCGTGGCCCCATAGGGAGCTCCACCGAAGGCCCCTGTGGCTGTGACGACATGCGTCCCACGCCACCCAGTACGCATGGGACCTTTCTGCCCAGTTGGGTGCCGTCCTTTTCCTGACCAGCCAGCGGTTGAACTGGATGCGCAATGCAAAAACTCCGACCGTGCTACCCTCCCCCCCCCTCCCAGGGAGCCCCGGCCGATCCGATCCCCGAGGCGTCCTGCCCCAGCGGCAGCTTGGCGGCCACGATCTCCGCGGGCGAGGCGTTGAACTCCTCGGCCAGCTCGCCGCGGACCCATCTCTGGACGCGGGCCTCCGTGGGAGCGGGGCGGGGAGGAGGGCAGAGTGCCACCCAGACCGCGCTGCTCCGCCCAATCGCGGGCGAAGAACGGAAAGAACGATCTCGGAGTGAGCGAGCCGAACGGTCTTATACTATCCACGGGTGCGTGCCTGAAGAGGGCCCCGCAGTGAGGATTCTTGTTGAAGAACTTGCACGTCTAAAACAAATCTGAGCTACTTATCCCCCTCTGGTGCCCTTTGTATGTTCGGGAGTGAAGCGATGCCCTGCGGCTCGCACTCAGTTTTCATCAGAGAAAATCTTGAGGCTCAAACTGTGCCTCTGGCCCCTGATTTATCACAACGGCTCCCGCCGTACACTTCCTCACAATGTATTGAAGAATCGAGCTCTCGCAAAGACTTCCCTGCAACTTGCCCATGACTGGCGCTTTCGGGTAACACTTCCTCGTGATGTATTCAGACGCCGCGCCTCGACACTCAGGAATGTCGCTCTCGCTCTGGGTTTCCTCGCGATTTACTTGGGAATCGCGCTATCGCTAGCGACTTCCTCGCGATTCATCCAAGACTACGCGTCAACGACACGCCCGCCCGACCCACCCCTCTGGGTCCGCCCGCCCGACCCGCCTGTCAGGGTCTGCCCGCCCGACCCGCACTTCTGGTTCTGCCTGTGGTTCTCCTGCTCCCAACAGCCCTCCCGCTGCTGATCTCTCTCGTGTTCCATCCTTCTCCATCCCCCTTGCCCCTTCCCTCCGACCTGCCTTGCCTCCTCGCTCTCTCCCCGTTCTCTTTCTCGCTCCTCTCCCTGATTTAGGGGCTGCGCCAACTGCACGTGGCACGCAAGGAAGATCTACCCCCAAAGGGGGTACGATAGGAGACGCAGCAGGCGGACATCAGGGTTCGAGATAGGAATGTTGAGCAGCACGCGCGCAGGGAAGAGCGGGCAGCACTGGCATGATTGGTGCCGCTGTCGCCGCCCCCGCCCACCCCACGACCCGCCCCCCGGCGAATGTCAGGGCAGTCGAAGCAGCTTTCTTAATTCGCTCATATGGGCGGAACCGCTGGTGGTACGCTGGTGATTGAGCTATTTGGGGGCAAGTCTCCGATAAACCCTGACATTCCATACGAGGGCAATGGGTGAGCACTGCGCAATGAACAAATACTGCACCATGTAGTTTTCAAACATGCGAAGTACGTGCGTGAGATATGCACGATGGGCATGAGCTCGTACGAGCTAGCCGCGACGTGTTGAGGGCGCGAGTGGATGCAATCCGCATGCTGGATTATAGTGAGAATGCAGCCTTGCACTTGAGGTGAACAGAATGCAGAGGCTCTAAGGCCACTGCGTTGTGGCGCACATCGTTTACTTTTCTCCACCCTGACGTAGGCTCTGAGTGGAATATCCTCAAGTCCCTCCGAGACCTCCGTGTGAAATAATGTACCAGGCTGTTGAGCACGAGAAGGGCGCCTATGCACTGAACCATATTTGGACGCCCTCCAGGCCCCGCTCCTATGAGGTATGGTGCATGGTTGTTCGGCTTTTGTTTATGGCTCCTGCCATTGGCTCCAGTGCACGGTTGTTCGGCCCTGATGGCCGAACAAGTATGCACGGTACCAGTCCTGGGTCGAGGGCCGACTATGCCTCGTGAGGCGCCACCGCGGTACGATGCACACAAGTCGCCCGCAGATCAAGTGGCCCGGGCCTAAAAGTCACACGCACTACCAGGGGCTGGTGGCTCGCGCGGCTTCTCAAAGGCTTTTTGAGCCGGGCCAGGTTTCCACACGTCCAGCGCGGTTAGCATGGCTTCAGGGCCCGGCCTGGAGCCCTCCGGGGCGCATCTCGGGCCGTCTTAGAGGCCCTGGGGGCCAGTCCAGAAGGCCAGACTTGAAAACAACATGTTTTTTCGTCGGCGGCGAGGCGGAGGCGATCCGCACCAACGTCACGCTTAAGTGGGGGCGCCGATCAGCAAATTGTCCGGCGTGCACTTAAAAAAAAAATGTTGCTACATAAGTTTGGCATACCCGGCTCTTAGTTCTTCTGAACGTCCGAGGCGGCCCAAGAGTTCCCTGGATCGCCCTAGAACTGCCCCCCGAGGCGCAAACGAGGACCCCAAAGGCCCCCTTGGCCGCAAACGAGGGCCCCAACCTAGCCTGTTCCCCAAGCTGGCCCCCAGAGACCTCCAAAAAACCCACACGAGGTCCCAAGAGATCTCCAACATGCCCAAGATGCCCCCGAAAGGCGCACATGCTGCTTTCACAAAGATTCCCAACATATCCCCCAGGAGGCCCCTGCGAGGCCTCCTGCACACGACCCCGCCAAGGTGTCGGGATGGGCCGAAAACCTCCTCCTTCACCTCCTCCTCCTCCTCCGTCTGCTCCTGCTGCTGCTTCTCCTTCTTCTCCTCCTCCTCCTCCTCATTATCCTCCTCCTCCTCCTCCTCCTTCTCCTCCTCCTCCTCCTCCTCCTCCTCCTCCTCCTCCTCTCGTCCTCCTCCCTCCTGCTCCTCCTCCTCCTCCTCCTCCTCCTCCTCCTCCTCCTCCTCCTCATTCCTCCTTCTCCTCTCTTCTCCGTCCTCCTCCTCCTCCTCCTCCTCCTCCTCCTCCCTCCCCCCTCCCTCCCTCCCTCCCTCCCCTCCCCCTCCCTTCCCTCCCTCCCTCTCCTGCTCCCTCTTCTCCTCCCTCTTCTCCTCCCTCTCCTCCTCCTCCTCCTCCTCCTCCTCCTCCTCCTCCTCCTCCTCCTCCTCCTCCTCCTCCTCCTCCTCCTCACCTTCCTCCTCCCTCCTCCTCTCCTCCTCCTCCTCCTCCTCCTCCTCCTCCTCCTCCTCTCCTCCTCCTCCCCCCTCCTCCCCCTCCTCCTCCTCCTCCTCCTCCTCCTCCTCCTCCTCCTCCTCCTCCTCGTCCTCATCCTCCTCCTCCTCCTCCTCCTCCTCCTCCTCCTCCTCCTCCTCCTCCTCCTCCTCCTCACCCTCCTCCTCCTCCTCCTCCTCCCTCCCTCCTCCTCGTCCTCCTCCTCCTCCTTGTCCTCCTCCACCTCCTCCTCCTCCTCCCTCCTGCTCCTCCTCCTCCTCCTCCTCCTCATCTTCCGCCTTCACTTCCCCCTCATCCTCCTCCTCCTCCTGCTCCTCCTCCTCCTCCGCCTCCTCCTCCTCGTCCTCCTCATCCAGTACTTCCCCCCTATAGATAATAATAACTTCTCTCTGTCGCACCCCGGGGGCCAGCTTTTAGGGCGGGCCGGGCGTTTCGCCTGAGTCTTCCTCACCATGTATGACCCTGAAGCCTCAGCATTCGCAATAGTTTCGCAGATGGAGGGACGGTCGTTGTCAAAATCTGGTTCGCGCCTTAGCGCCGCGAGCATGCAAAAAACTGTTCAAGGGTTTCACGAATTGAGGGCGATCCGTTTTCAAAGTGTGGCTCTCGCCTTAGCGCCGCGTAGATTCGTTTTAAAACTTTGCAAGAGTTTCACGGACTGAGAGCGGCCTTTTGAAAATGTGGCTCTCGAATTAGCGCCGCGCGCATTCGTTATCAACATTTGCAAGAGTTTCACGGGTACCCATGATCAGCGTACCAGAAATTAGGTTTTGGAAGGATTCCGGATTATGAGGGTGCAACCGTTTCGTTGATTCGTGGTGCTGAAGTCCCAGGAATGGCTTTCTGGCACGGCTCAATATCGCAAAGACGCAACAGTCAGGTTGATCTGTGGCGTTGGCATCCCGAGAATACTGTTTTGGCATGCTTCAGGGTCTTCCAACGGTTGCCTTCCAACAAGGCAGCTCCCTCAGTGGAAATGAACCGTTGTAGGGGCCTATGAAGAGGGAGCTTGGAGGGAGGGTTTGTTCCAACATCGTTGATGACTCTCGGGTTTACGCTGGACCTCCTCCTCCTCCTCCTCCTCTTCCTCCTCCTCCTCCTCCTCCTCCTCCTCAAGCTCCTCATCATCCGCCGCCTCCTCCTCCTGCTCCTCCTACTCCTCCTCCTGCTCCTCCTCCCACTCCTTCTCCTCCTCCATCTCCTGATCCCCCCCTTCCTCACATAGCGACTGCGACTGGGGGGCTCTTCAGGGCGTCTTGTCCCGGGCATCCCGACACTTCCGATTATCACCTTCATGCTGCAGGTCTTCCTCCGAGGTCGGCGGCACCGGCCGTAAGACCTTCTCAACATACGAACGGCTTCTGGGAATCAATGAATGCAACCGAACATGCGGTGAATACAAGTATCCGTTAAGAAATCTAGGCCGGCTTCCTGAGGTGTCCTAAGACAAGCCTGGGACGCTGTCGATTGTGAGCGATGGAGGGACGAACGTGCTTCAGAAGCTGGGCCGCCCTTCTGGGGAGCTGGCCAAGAAACGCTGGCCCATCGACTCGAGAGGAAGTTTCTCCATCAGATGCTCGGCCGCCCTATGGGCTGCACTGGTAGCATGTGGTAGCACGCATGTTTACAAATTATTCCTCGTCGCATCGCCGCTTTCTTCCCCCCCCGCCGCCCGCCCAACGATAACAGGGGATATGTCGACCCCTATCCCAGGCTTCGTGGGGTTTCCGAATGGACCAGAAATTTGGGGCCTAACCCTGGGATATACGATGGGGGGGCGTCCATCCTCGACAGGGGTGCGTCCGAATAGCCCCCTCGGGATGTATCCCAAGATTCCTCCCATTCTTCTGAGCGGCCAGACTTTTCGGGCGAAACTCGGGGATTGGGGGAGAGAAATCGCCTGCGATTCTTCCCCCCCTTTCGCCCGGCCCGAAACGAGGCATCCTTCACGCGCTCCACCTCGGAAGGCAGCCCCACGAAGCGGAAGCTGGCCGGGCGGTCGCTCAGGCCCGCCTGCGCCGCGGGAGGCGAGGGACGCAGACCGAGCGAGCGAGGGTGCAAAGGAACGCAAACTGGGAGAGAGAGAGAGAGAGGGAGGGAGAGGGAGAGGGAGAGGGAAGGAGAGGAAAGGGAGGGACGCAAACTGGGAGAGGGAGAGAGAGGGAGAGAGGGAGAGAGGGACGCAAACTGGGAGAGGGAGAGAGGGAGAGGGAGAGGGAGAGAGGGACGCAAACTGGGAGAGGAAGGGAGAGGGAGATAAAAATGAAGCAGGGCGAGGGAGAGGGAAGGAGAGGAAAGGGGAGGTCTGGAGAACAAGGGTTGCGGAGGAGACGGCCTTCACATATTCGACGCAGCAGAACACACCCCAGGCAACATCCGGCACCGCGACGGAGGGCCCGACAGAACCCATGTCTGGGCGAAACCTTCCCAATGCGAGCAGCCGCTCTCCCTCCCGCCCAAGAGCCCCTTCCAGCCGCTACAGAGCGGGGTGGGGAGTCCCCCCCCCCATCCTCCCCCTCCCCCTCCACCCTGCATTCCCCCTCAGGCGGCTGGGTAGTTCCACGGGCACAGGAGGTGGCAAGCTAGACCAGTTCATTTCAGCCTACACCGACAATGCTAAAGAGGCCCTCCGCCGAATAGCTGATTGCCAGCCTCCGAATGTTTCGGTAAATTTGTGGCCCACTAGGGAGCCCATCGAGCCGATTCGGCCCCGCCGACTCAGGCGGACTCGCAGCATTCAGTAACTGCTTCGGTGGTAGGGCCGCGGCGTGTGGGGTGCCACGACAGCGCTACGCTCGGTCTCACGAGCGGCAAACATATCCATATCCGCACCCTCGCGGTCTGGATTTGGGGACGCGATCCCGCGTACGGTCAAACCGCGTAGTAAGGACGGGCAGTTGTCCCAAGGGTACCCTTGCGTCCTTGCATCCTTGCCTCCTCGGTTCATCCTTGGCCACGTTCGTTGGCCGCGCCCCGCTCGAAAAGCTTTGAAATGGCCTTCCAAGGCCCTTGCATCCTCACCGTTCACCCTTCTTATACGGGTCGACTGTATACGCGGTCCCACGGATACGTTCCGCGCGGGACACCCGCAAAAAAAAACGCTCCGCATCCTCGGGGTCGCGGCCCAGGAGCCTGGTCCGCGAGACCGCGGATGCGGGTATGTGTGTCATCCTTGGAACTGCGCGTCCGATCCAAACATATAATGCAAACTCTTCGTATATATCTCTATGTAGTATAACTATAACTGTATCTATCGATATACAGGTCTACAAATGGATAGATGTAATGCGGGATGACGATTATAAAAAATAGGAGAGAACGAGTTAAGACATAGTTTTCTGCTATTTCTGCAATTTTCTGACTGGAGGAGAACGATTTGAAAAATAGTTTTCCAGCCCGCGGCCGTTTTTTTCGAATCGTCATCCCGGGCGCCGCCGTGTGAACACGAACCCCGGTCATTTATTAATCGTTATCCTCCATTGTGGAGATATATATTATATATATACATATATATACATACACGCATATGTACAGTGCAATGAAATATAGGTGTATGTCTGAATGTGTATTTATGTGTATAAGTATACACATAGAACTATATATAGATACACCACTTCTCGACCGGTATGACCATACTACGGCCGCCACCGAGCATCCGCCACCGTGCCTCTGGGCACGGAGTGGGCGTGTCCTCGGGTCCTGGGCCCAATCCTCTTCACCTCGATCCTCACGTTGGCATCTCAAAACCGTGCGGTGACAGACCGTGCGGTGACCTCGGAACCCCAAGAGACCTCGCCGCACGGTCCGTCACCGCACGGTCTCAGGACCCTGGAGGCCCCTGTCGCCCGAGACGTCCTCGGAGAGGGACTCGAGTCCCAAAACCGTGCGGTGGCCCCGAATCGCCGCCGACTCACCGCACGGCGTGGTCACCACACCGTCTGGGGGCCCCCGATCCTCACCTTCCGAGGAGCCGTCCGGTGCCCCCAGCTCGCAAACCTCCTGGGGCCTGCCGCGTGCCCCCGGGGGCTTCCCGCATGCCCCCCGGGGCTCCCCCGCATCCTGACGCCTGGCACGTTCGGGCCCGAGGAGGGCCCAAGACGGGCCACGAGGGCCCCAAGAGGCCCCCAAGACAGTCCGAGAGGGCCCCGAGTTGCCGAACGATCGCGCCGAGGCGCTCAAGATGGCCCCCAGACGGTTCAAGAGGCCTCCGAGACGCCCAAAGGGGCCTCCAAGAGGCATCCCTCGTGGGAGGGCCCCAAGAAGCAAAAATCACCGATGTTCCCAAGGTTGTTGAAACATTTTGGCGTTCTCGCCTTGTCGGCTCCCCGACGCTCCCAGACGGCCATAGAGGCCCCAAGACAGCCCCAAGACAACCCAAAAGGCCTGCAAGAGGGCCCCAAAACGGCCCAAGGGGGCCCCAAGACGGCCCAAGAGGCGCCCAAAACAGCCCAAGAGGGCCCCAAGACTACCCCAAAAGGGACCCAAAAGAAAAAAACGAACCGAAAATCCGAGCCTTCCGCCCCAAGAGGCCCCCAGGAGGCCCCAAGAGACGCAGAGGAGGCCCCACGATGCCCCAAGAGGCCCCCAAGAGGCCCCCAAGAGGCCCCCAAGAGGCCCAATCTGCGCGCGCCGGCCGCAGGCAGCGAGCCCGCGGGCCGCGCGGCGCGCGGGCTCGCGGCGGGGAGCGCGCCTGCAGCTTGCGCCAGGCCCCCGGGCGCACGACGACGGGCACGGTCAGGACCTCGGCGTCCCGCGGTCGGCGCCGCGTCGCTGCAGCGGCTCCTCCTCGAGCCGCTCCCGTGCCTCCCCCGCCGCTCCCGACCTGTCCACCCGAGCCACCCTTTCCTTCTCCTCGCCCCCCTCCCCCGCCCCCTCCCTCCCCCCGCGGTCCTGTACTGTACTTGTTTACTTGGTGCCCGTGCAGCTCATTTAAGTCTGCTAGTTGCAGCGCCGCTTTTTCTCTGACCGTCACCAGGCGAATCAGATGCGCAATCCAAAAATCCGCGGTCCTTCCTGGGTCCACCGGGCCCGCCTCCTCCCCCTCCTCCACCCGTTTCCGACGCTTCCTTCGCCGCGTTTCCCTCCACATCATTCCCCGGAGATCGCTCCGCACTCGACCAGCATGAGGCGCGAGCGAGCGCTGGTCCGATCGTTCGGCGCAGCGCCAGACGAACAGATGGGGCACCTCACCCGCCTCCAGGCGACGCGAGGAGGCGGGTTGTGTCTTATTCGTCTTGCGCGCATCATCACAGATTTGACTACCCGCAGGAGCTCACGAAAGAGGCGGTCCTCCCCGACTGGTGGCGAAAAGAATGGAGGCGGGAAGAAAAAGGAGGAAAAGGCAGCCGCGTCCTATTCGAAACGAGAACACCGCACAGACGGTTGGGGGGAATCTGAAGAGTTCCCGTTGGTGCTTCACGCATTGGCTTCTCGAGGCTGCCTGCTCAGCGCCAACGGGGCATCGGAGCGAAAAGATACCCCAATCACAGAAGGAGACCCCCGAGGAGCCCCCCGACGCGCCCCATGACAGTCTCAAGACTCCGGGGAGCCCGAAGGCGGCTCATGGGCCCCGAACGGCCCAAGAGGGCACCAAGACATGCTCCAGGAGGGACCCCAACCGAACGGCACCAATGACAGCCCACAACGGCCGCAGAGGGACCCAAAGACGGCCCCAGGGGGCCCAAAGGAAGGCCCCAAGAGGCCCCCAACGGCCCTACAGGAGCCCAAGACAGCCCCAGGGAAGCTCAGGCAGGCCATCCAGGAGCTCTTCAGATGAGGCCGAGAGGTGGCACAGGTTGCGGCCCTCTGGGCGGCGCTCGAAGCGCCGCCACACGGAGCGCTGCGCGAAACACGGAGGCGCAACTGCCACGGGCAGATGGCTCGACACACGCATCCTCATGCACGCGCGGGCCCCGGGAGATGGTCGGCACAGCACGGCTCGCCATGCCCATCGGGGCGCGGGACTGCTTTCCACCACCACCACAAGTTGGAGGGGGGAAGGAGGTGGAGGACGAGGAGGAGGATGAAGAGGCGGAGGAGGAGGAGGAGGAGGAGGAGGAGGACCCCGTCCCCCCCCAGCACTGGCTGGGTATGTCCGCGCTTTTGCCGCGCTGCGAGCCGTGCCGCCCCGTTCGCCGACCCCGTGGGCACCCCGCGCTCTCGGAGGCTTCTGCCGAGGTTGCGCCGCGCTGCCGCCCGTGCCGCCCCGTGGGTGCCCGGAGTCTACGCCACACGACTCACACCGCACAGCTTACACCACATAGCTTACCCACCATAGCTTACACTGCATAGATTGCGAAACATGGCTTACATCAACTTTCGATTCGACGAAATATCGAAATATCGATTCAACATGGCTTACATCAACTTTCGAGTGCAGCTTAGACGAAATATCGACCACCAGATGGCCTGCCTCGAGCAGGGGTCACCTCCACGGCTCACACCGCATGGCTCACACGACAGAGCTCTCGCCACCTAGCTGGCACAGCACAGCTTTCGCCTCGCCTTTGCGATGACGCTCTGGTTGGGGCCCACGCCGGTTCAGATACCGCTCCGTCCTCCTCGCCCACCGCGAGCTTCCAGATACAGTCTGATTGGCCTGCTTCCCACCACCACCACCATAAGTTGGAGGGGGACGGGGTCCTCCTCCTCCTCCTCCTTCTCCTCCTCCTCCTCCTCCTCCTCCTCCTCCTCCTCCTCCTCCGCCTCTTCATCCTCCTCCTCGTCCTCCACCTCCTTCCCCCCTCCAACTTGTGGTGGTGGTGGTGGTGGAAAACAGGCCCAGCACAGTCGTCGAATAGACCTCCGGCATCTCTTTGCACGACGGGCACGCGGAAAAAAACTTCACGCGTGGCCTCCGGGCAGCTGCTGTACGGTTGAGACGGGCCCGCCACACGACGGCGTGCTCCATCGATCCTTCGGCCCAAGAGTTTCTCGTACCCGCCTGGCGGGATCATCTCGCCTTGGGAGCCACAGGTGACCACGAAGATGCCCGCGCCACTCTGCTGGCTCGCGAGGGCCGTCGTCTTGCCGCCGCGAACGCGGAGCCTGCATCTGGCAGCGATGTTTTGAAAGTGTCCACCGGGTTGGCGGTTCTTTCCGTCTGCACAAGAAGCAACACGTCGGCTGGCAAACCTGCATCTGACAACGTCTTCTCCTGGTCGTCGATCACGACCCAACAAATTACCCAGTACGCCTCCCGTTGAATTCAGACCATGTCGTACTTACTTGTACGCAACACGGATCCACGACTGCAAAACATAGAAACGCGCTGGCCTGATCACCCTGTTTCAGTGGCCTGGTAAAGCAAAGCGAGCAGGACTTCAGCCGAGCAACAACAGATGCAGTCTGATCAACATACACATTCTGATGCACCTCAATGTATGATGCACCGATATCGGTCTCGCATAAAACACCCCACAACAACTCGCGTGCAACGGTGCCGAAGACGTTCCCTGATTTCATGAATCCAAGCCACAATCCATGATTCCACTCGCTACATTTCTCAAGTAGCAAAGCGCGTTCCCCAGAACATCCTAGGCGTCAGGCGTTGTGCCTGCGCCTGATACGTATTAGCTGCATCTGAAGGCGGTTGGAAATGATGAGGGCGAAGAGCTTGTACAACACCGGGAGAAGAGGAAGGTTAATAGCAATGAGCCTGTAGGTCTCCGGAGACATCGTGACAGGTGGCAGGCTTGCCCAGGGTCTGAATGCAAGGTCCCAGCTGCGTCGAGCCCGTGTAAAGCGTCTCGCCGAAGGAGGCCAACACTTCAGCCGCGTTATCCTTGGACCCCTCTACATTGCCAATTGTTTTGTCTTAGCTGCCATGGTGTTTGAAATCGTGCTCAACACTCTTAAAGCAATGAGGAATGCCTCGGAAGTCGCTGCTTTCTGCTTCGCCTTCTCTTTCTAGATAAAGCGTTTAGCCTCGCGGAGTAATGACTTTCACCGAGCTGCCTTTCCCCGACACATCTTGCATAATCTATACAAAGCTGGATCAAACCTGTCCTTCTGACGAATGTCAACGGATATCTTTATCGTTCATGGCTATTAACAAAAAACAATTGAACACGCGGGTGCGTCAATGCGACCGCCTCCACTAGCGTGTTCTCGATCAAGCTTGCTGCTGCAAAAAGGTCGCTGGCAGTTGCCAGTTCCCTCCGTAGTAGACGATCCGCAGTCTCTTCATAGGACCACAGGCCCACATCTGGACACCAGGACGACGTTGAAGCGCGAGTCATGATGTTCAACCTCTGCGCCTAGAAAAACACGTGCATCTCAAGAGGCAGGTTCTCCGACATGTTCTGATCCAGCGTCAGTGTTTGACAGCACCTTGCATTTGCGCACGTGCGACTGCCCGCCTATTGGAGCGACTGCGACGTCGACTTGTTTCCGCACCGATCCACTAACATATGTCCAAAGCTGAACAGAAGGCAGCTTCGGCATATGGGCGAGGAACAAAAACAGGAGGAGAGCACCAATGTGGCAACCCCTCTTCTCGCTGGATCCGCGATCTCACCCAAGTCGGCCCCAGGTACACGAGCGTTTATCATCGGGGCGCGGTGGAGAAAGAAACCTTCGCCCTCCCCCATCCACCTCCAGCCTCTTCCACTCTTCCCCTCCTCCTCATCCTCCTCCTCCTGCACCCTCTTCCACTCCTCCACCGCCTCCATCACCCTCCTTGTCCAGCTCTCTGGTCGCCCGTGTGAACGCCGGTCAGGCACACGCAGCCTCCCAAGCAGAAGGGCAAGGTGAAAGTCTGGCCATCAAAAATCCTGATCCTGCTCATATGCATTGACATCCTCGTCCTCGTTCTCCTCGTCTACTTCATCACCATCACCATCACCGTAATCATCAACGCCATCGTCGTCGTCGTCGTCATCATTATCATCATCATCACCACCACCACCATCACCATCACCATCATCAACGTCAACAGCAGTATCACCAGAATCAGCACCATTATCCTAGTCATCCTCATCCCCATCATGCATCATCACCACCGTCACCATCACCATCACCATCATCACCATCACCATCACCATCACCATCACCATCATCATCATCATCATCATCATCATCATCAGCATCATCATAATCCTTATTAATTACCATCACGATCCCCATCATGATCGTCATCACCACCACCATCACCATAATCATCATCATCATCAGCATCAGCATCATCATCAGCATCATCGCCATCATCATCAGCGTCATCATCAGCATCATCGTCATCATCATCTGAGTCAGCATCATCAGCATCATCAACATCATCAACATCAACACCATTATCATGATTTTGGAGGCCTAGAAATTGGCACCAACACCAACACAGGGGGGGGGGGCCTCCACAGGGGGAAGATGATCCTAGATTTCGGTGTTGGTGGCAATATTTCGTTCACCTTGGAAGCCAGAATATTACCACCATCACCGAGATCGGGATCTTCTTCCCTCGGTGGAGGCACACCGCCGATATTGGTGTTGGTGTCAACCTTTAGGCCTGCGATGATTATCTCTTCTTCCGCCCTCTCCTGCTCCGACTACCCTGTTATGCACCTTCCTCCTCAATGCCGCCCTCCTCTTCCGCCTCGGCCTCACCCTGCTTTTAGACAAGAGGGCGAGCCCACAGCGAGGGCACCGTCGGCTGTCGGGCCCACTGGCTGCGGCATTCACACGAATGCCACGGTCGTGCATCCTGCCCTCGCGGACGGCCGCACTGAACTCCCTCCTCGCCTTCACCACCCCTCGTCTTGCTCCTCCGCCTCCTCCTCCTCCTCCTCCTCGCTTCTCCTCATCATCTTAATTTTCGTCTCTCCCCTTCGCCCCTGATCATCATCCTGCCCATCGCCGCTAATAGCGACATATTCGACCTCCCCCCCTCGACCCCCCACCCCCGTTGGCCCCCCGCGCCCCCCCCTCCTCTTCCTCCTGCTCCTCGTTCCGGCGGCACGCCCAGGGGGGCAGACAAAGGGGGCGGACCCTCCCAGAAGGCTCAGAAGACCTCTTGCCTTCCGAAGAGCTTGCTCGGCCTTCTCTGAAGACACAGACGCCCTCCCAGATGGCCGGGTGGCTTCCGAGACGCCCCGCCGCACTCTGAGAACGCCTGCCCCCCCTCTGACTTCCCCCCCCCCGGCGCGCCGCCGAGCGCGGAGCCTGTCGCCTGCCGGATCCCAGGCCGAGTCTCCGGTGGCCCTTCGGGACGACCCGGGCGCCCCCGGAACGCTCTCTCAGCGAAGGCGCGGCCGCTGGAGCGCACCGCTGGGAAGCAACGAAGCCGCCCGAAGCCGAACGCCCCGCCGGTCTTCTTCCTCCCTGGCTTCCGCCTCGTCCGCCCCTCGCGGCGCAGCCCCGGTCGCTGAGCGCGCGGCGTGCTGGACGTCCATCCTCCACGCCTGGCCGCCAGGGTGGAAGACGAAGCGGCCCTCGCCGTCGTACTGGAAGAAAACCCGCCAGCCCCCGCCACTGGGGGCTGGGGGGCTGCTGGAGGAGGCAGAGGACGACAGGGGGAAGGGGGGAGAGGAAAGAAGAGGAGAGGAGAATGTCGAAACGAGGGGATACAACATTGGGAAGAGAGGATAAGGCAAGAAAGGAGGCGAAACAAAAGAGGAGGAGCGAGGAGGACGATGAGGAGGACGAGGCGGGAGGAAACGGGAAGAGGCGAGGGGGGGCGGACGGAAACGGGGGGAAAAAACGGGAGGGCGAGGGAAAGCAGAGGAGGGTAGGAGCACGAGCGAGAGTGGAAGGCAAAAGTCTTCTTGGTGGGGGCGGGGAAGGGAACTGCCAGCTGCTCGCAGGTGGGCGGAGCATGGGCACGGGCCTGCACGTATGCCCTGGCCCACGCTGGGCTCGAAATGGAACGTGGCCGCCTCCAGCGGGCGGCGAGGGCTGCAGTGCCCGAGTGGTCCCTTTCCTTCTCATCCTCCTCCAGCTCCACCTCCACCACCTCCTCCTCCCCTTCCGCATCTTCCTCCTCCACCACCTCTTCCTCCCCCTCCTCCTCCTCCTCCTCCTTCTCCTCCTCCTCCTCCTCCTCCTCCTCCTCCTCCTCCTCCCCCTCCTCATTCCCTTTTCATTCCCCACCACCATCATCAGGATCATCATCCTTATCATCAGCATCATCAGCATCATCATCATCATCATCATCATCATCATCATCATCATCATCATCATCATCATCATCATCATCATCATCATCATCATCATCGTCATTATCACCCTCATCATCATCATCGTTATCAGCATCATCGTCAGCAGGAGTAGGCATCATCATAACCCTCATCATCACCACCATCATCACCAGCAGCAGCACCAACATCATCATCAGCACCACCAGGTTCTCCGACGCTCGTTTTCCACAGCGTCCCATGCGTGAAGTTTGCGAGGCAAGGCCGGTCAAGAGGCAGCCAGGGGCGTCGGGGCGCAGCGGCGCTGGCTCTGCCGCGCGGCCCCACAGAGCCCCAAGGCAGAGAGTCCTAGACCTGTTCGGAAGCTGTTCGAGAGGGCGGGGCGGCAGGGCGACAAAGCTGCACACCACTTCCTTCTACGATCATAATCGCTGTGCTCATGCGATATCCGACGCTCGTTTTCCCAACGTCCCCATGCGTGAAGTTTGCGAAGAAAGGCTGGCCAAAGGGCGGCCAGGGGCGTCGGGGCGCAGCGGCGCTGGTTCTGCCGCGCGGCCGCACAACCTCACAAAGACAAAAGCGTTCGACCTATTCCGACCTTGCCGTCGTCGCCGGGTGTTTGACATGCGCCATGCCCCTCCAGGTACGTCAGCGACACAGTCGCCCAACGCCCCATGCAGCTGGGGCGGGCTGACCAAGCTCCTGGACACACTGTCGCCTGTCAGGCGACATGTGGGCAAAGGAATGGGCGGCCGCGCCCATCTGGCAATGGCAGCGCATGGATTTGACATTCCCCCAGCGCACACTGCACCGCACATAGCAGCCCGAGGATCTGAAACGAGCGGAAGCAATGGGCGGCCCCGCCCCCTTGCAGCGACCCACGGGCGCAGGGCGAGTCGCCGATGCCAGCGAGGCCCATGAGGTAGCTGAACCTCCGGGTCGGCCCGCGCAGCTGTCCTGGGCACGACGCCGCCGTCAGCGAGAGGGGGCCAAGGATGCGCCCTAGCAACTTCGACAGCGCAGGATCGTCGATCTGGGCGCTTAGAAACTTTGGCCCCCAGTCCGATGTCTTGGCGGAGAGCAGCGAAGCACGCCTGCGTTGACGTCGCCTCCCAGATCCCCAGGCACAGCGAGGTGCCGCCAGAGGGCGTTCGCGGCCTCGCTGGGCCGCGGCAGCGAATGGAAGGCGATCGGGGCAGGCACGTTGACACTGACCCGCCACTGCGCCTGGGCAGCGACGGCCTGTGCCAGGAGCACCTCGACAGGCATGGGCGCGCGCATCCCGACTGGCCCCCGACATTGCGCCAGCGAGCCACCGCGGCCCATGCTGGGCGCAATTGGCCGCGGATCTGGGGCCAGCGAAACTGGGCGCCAGCAAGGGTCTCGGATCCCCATGAATAAGGCGCCGTCGCGTCGTAGAGGTACTGCGCGTAGGCGACGAGGGTGGCGTTGAGCAGCTCGATGCCACGCGCGACGTCCTTGGGGCGGGGCAGTCTTCGACTCCGGAACCGCCGGCCCCACTGGTCGGGCATGGTGATGCACCAGCGGGCAGTGGCCAGCTCGACTGTCACTGAGAAACCCCGCCCGGCCAGCGACGCCCCGCGCCCAGGCTCGCGGGCGGGCCTTCTCCTGGAAATCCGAGCCAACTGCAGAATACCCACGGAAGCATCAGCAGCGCGGCGAGCGGCGGCGCGCGTCGAGCTGCCCGGGCCCCGCGCCGCACCACTCGCTGGAATGCTCTGCCGCCACCTCAGTCAGACGCCACCGAACGCCGTCCTCGCGCATGATGCCGCCCTCCAAGACGAGGCGCCGTTGGCTGCGGTTGCAGCGCGTTGAAACCAAGGGCAAGGACGCCCACTGCCACTTCCAGGTGACGGCCCCGCGCCAACGCCTGCCCCGCGAGCGCCAGCCAATGACGCGCTCGCAGAGCGGCCCCGCGCTCGGTGACTCCTGGAGCCCCAGACGCGCCGGGCGAAGGGGCGGCCGAGGCTGCCCCCGCGCCCACAGGGCGCCCGCGCTGTCGAGGGACTTCGCGAGGTCCAGCCCAGTTTCCACACACTCGTTGCCAAAGATCTCCACGGGGGGCGGCCGCGGCCCACATGGCCGCCGGCGAGCCCGAGAAGACCGCGAGCACAAGTTCATGAATTCCGCACAGGTTCCGCAAGGGGGGCCCACGGCGGCCGCGACCGGACTGATCCCCACAATGAGCTCGATCTCCTCAGCGAGCACGTCGGGGCCCGCGAGGCCCTCGAGAGGGCCGCGCAGCATGTCGCGGCTGATGGCAATCCCGCCGCGGCGCTCCAGGGCCGCGCTGCGGGGGGCCTCCGGCCCGCTGAAGGCGTCGCAGAAGTCGGGTGGTCGGCGGCCGAAGGTAGAGCGGCCTACGCTCGCAGCCCAGCCCCGAAGCTTCTCGACGGCGGCAATCGACTCCACCACCTCGGGAGAACGCGGTCTGGCCTTAGGAGCACCCTGGGCGTTTCTTTTATGGGCTCTTGACGGGCTAAAGACGCACAGACATACTACGTTGTTGAACGGTTTTAGGGCCATGCTGCAAGCGCTTTGTTTGCGTTTGCTCGGCACCCCCAAGCCGAAACCATCATCGGAATATCTGAAAACGCAAACAGAACGCATCATTGCGTTAAGGCTTTGGGGCGAGACCTGAAAACGCAAGGCAATATTTCCTAGACGCCGAGCTGAAAACGCTACATGAACGCCCTGGGCACATCTAAGGCGAGCCAGATCTTGGCGGCCCATATGCAAGAGGAGGGGGCACCCTGCGAACAGCAAAACAGGGAGAGTCATGGCGAACATCCTGTTAAAGACCCCGCTGGACGATCGCCCTCGGACGGCAGCGCCACGCACGCGCGCTCGGGCTCTCGACCGCGCGCGTGACCAGCGATCTAAGCGCGACGGCCCCCCGCGCATCAATGCAGCACCGGCCCGAGAACCTGTAACTAGCACGGCAAAATGGTCAACTGTTTGGACCCCATTCAAGGGGTTGCGCAGGGGGCCACCCCCGACCCCGCCCCCCAGGACCTCGAGAGGTTCGTCGGGATCTGGGGGCCTGACAGGTTCGAGCCTCACCGCGCCTGTCCGTCGAAGAGCCCGTGCCCGAAGCCAGACCGCCGCCTCCACGTTGGGCGGGGCCGACGCGACTCCGCCGACGAAGAGGGCGGCGCACGAAGCGAAGACCTGTTCCGCCCCTTCGCAGTCGAACGAGCTGTTGAACACTGGGAGCAAGAGGGCCAGCCCCATCAGCTCGTCGATCAGTGGATTCAGCAGCCGGCGCCGCGCGGCGGGGTCCACGCCGAGCACGCGAGGCCGCCCGTAGAGCATTTCCACCAGACGCATGGCGGCCTGGCGAAACATCAGATGGCGCACCCAGCGTCGGACCGGCCCCCCCATGACAGCGACCGACGCGGCCCCGACGAGAGGACGCCGCGCGCGGCGATCACTCCGAGCTGCTCGACATTCATCACCGCCACCCTACATCGAGACGCGCTGAAGAACCCCCGCCCCAGGCGACTCCGTCGGTCTGGTCCCGGGCCCCCCCCCCCTCTCCCGGTGCCCAGCGAGCGCAAGCCCCGCGTCTCTGCCGGACCCGCTGCAGAGCTGCTCGTCGCATCGGGCCCGAGGCGTCGGGCCGTCGCAGGGGCCCGCGACCGCGCGGCCGTCCGAGCAGACGCCTTCCGCGGCTCGATCTGAGGGGGGGGGGGGGGGGCCGACAATAGGCGAGCCACCCCCGTCGCGGAGACGCCCTGCGGGCCGCAGGCAATGCTGGCGCGCGACGCGGGCCGCCTCCGGAGGCCGTCTAGCCCCCCATGGCAGGAGCTGCTAATGCCGGCGCCATCGCGCCCTGACCCCGCCAGCGGAGGTTGCCCACCTCGCCAGAGACCCGCTGCCCCAGCAGCTCGCCGACCCCGAGGTCAGAGCCAAGGATGTCCCCATGTACCCTGGCGCCCCGCCACTGCAGGGGATAAAAGAAGCCTCTCGGCTCTGTCCGCGGAGATCGACAAGCGCCCGCATCGAGGACCTGCTCCGCGAGCTCCAAGGCAGGGGAAGGGCGGCGAAACGCTCGAGGCAGGCGCGTCGACTGCCAGCGAGCTTCGAGCGCTTTGCGGCGACGCCTGCCAATGATCACCCTCGGACAGCGGTCGCCCTGCGCCTCCGCGCCGACGAGCCCGCCGCGGACGGGGTCGCGCCCGCGCAGCTGGAGGCTCTCGATGCGCGAGCCGCGACAGGCGAGCATCCCATACCCGCGCAGCCACCGCGGCCCAGTGGCCCACGCGCATGCACATGGGAGGCAGCCGACTGGGAAGGCGCCTTGGATCGAGGTCGAAGATGCGGGGCGCGCGGGAGATGTCGCCGCACTCAGGCCGCGCGACTGGCCCCTGGAGCAAGGTCG